TTTATAGCTAGATTGGGCTCGTTATTGTGATTATGCTTATGATGTGTTTTTGTATGTTTAACGCTTTTTAACCGTCTCCACTTTTTTTTTATTTCGAAATTCACATAATTATGGAAGTTCTTTTTGCATCTAATTCTCGGAGCTGGAAAAAAAAATCCAGATTACATCCAGTGATGCAGATGGTGCTCTACAGTAAACCATACAGCGGTTACAGAAAGGTGGTCTAACACCTCCAGTAGAAACAAATACTACAGTTAGCTCATTAACAGACAAGCCTATCTCAGGCCTTATTTTTAAAAGTCGTCGCCTTTAGGAGCGATCTGGCCCAGCATGGTCAGGTGGTTAGGGTGTTCGAATCGCAATCTGCGGGTTCGAATCCCCGTCCCACCAAACATGTTCGCCCTTTTAGCCGTGGGGGCGTTATAATGTGACGGTCAATCCCACTATTCGTTGGTAAAAGATTAGTCCAAGGGTTGGCGGTGGAGGTGCTGACTAGCTGCCTTCTCTCTAGTGTTACTCTGCTAAATTAGAGACGGCTAGCTTAGATAGTCCTCGTGCAGCTTTGCGCGAAATTCAAAACAAACGAACTAGAAGGGATCTGATTAAAAACAAGATATTTACTGAACCTTCATGATTCTATGGCAGTGTATTAACAATACAAACAATATCAAAACCACCGCAACGTCATTTCACGGTGTGGGCATGGCAACGCTATTGAAAGATAAGGTTAGTTCATGTGACAACAAACTCAAGCGTTAGCAAGGTTAAGTGTCTCTATCAGTTATCGTAATTTGAAACTCGTGCTATCACTTGATGTATTAACGGCCGCTTCCTCATTTCCTGTAGTATCCAGGAAATGATCACACGCAATATTATTCATCATCCCCCCCCCCCCAATCAGCTTATGTAACATCGTTATGTACACTAACACAACAATAAAGTAACTTTACCGAATGTTTTACTGCTTTAGGTTTATACAAAACGATTGAATATCCTGTAATTATCTCATCACACCCACGACAGAAAGTTCCATTTTTAGCAGTTTAATACATGGAATAAATACGGCTACAAAAACTGGTTTAACAATTATTTTACCATCTTGAATAACAAAGTTATTCTATGATAAAACAAATAGTAGTTTACGTTATAATCCGAACTACGTATGTAACATCAAGATTCAGCATTAAATCCCTACCTTTCTGGCGAGTTAGGTAATTCATTAATGTCAGACAAGAAGTTTAAAATACAAACTGTTCCACAAACCTACAGATATATTCTTTACAATAAAACAGAAATACACGTTTCAGCTAAACATAGAATCCCAACTATTAATTTTCAGTCCACTTGCTGAGTATGATGTACACATTCTACTTGTAGTCTTGTTCATTGTTGGACGATTTGGTTGAGAAACGATGTTAGGCTTAGAAACGTGTACACATTCTACTTGTAGTCTTGTTCATTGTTGGACGATTTGGTTGAGAAACGATGTTAGGCTTAGAAACGTGTACAC